ATGGAAATAAATGTTTTAGGGGCCAGACGAATGGCGCCTTAGTTAAGAGCTGGCTTGGGATGCCAGAGGGCCCCGGTTCGGATATCACATATGAGGGCCAGTGACACTACCCTCTACAGCTAAGATGCTGAACAACAGCTCAACCTGGAGCTGGACTGCTGTGAATCCCCAGCGACTGCATAGGCTGGAGCCCCTGCTGTAGTGGGTTGCCACGGGCTACCGTGTGTAGCCAGCAGCCAGCGTGAGCGGCCATCCAGAAGCCAGCTACTGATCTGCCTCACCCGGGAATAGTGCAATAATGGTGCCAACATGGGCCAGTGAATCAACATCCTCCACAACTGGACTGAAGAACAAAAGGACAGCAACTTGTCTGTTTCCCTTCCCCCAATTCCCCAGCACTGTTCCCATCCCCTGATTCCCCAATAAAAATCTTTTAAAAAAATAAAAAAATAAAAATAAAATAAATGTTTTTATAAATGACTATAGAATTAAATCATCAAAATAAATATGGTAAGAAAATAAATTAAGATAATACAATTTATTATAATTTTCAAAAAATTGTATATGCTTCTGTTATTAATATTTGAGCCCAACTATATAATCTAACTAAATAAAATAAAACTATAAAATAATAAAGCATAATTAATCTAACATATAGAGTAGTAAAATATGTAAAATGGCAAATTTTCTAGAAAAAGGGAAATTTGAACTAAGTCCTTTCTATTCTAAAGCTGCAAGAAATAATTAGATTACAATTAGTGTCAATTGAGTAAAACGATAGAAAGTATCGCAATGAAATTGTACAGTACTTTTAATCTACTAAGAATTATAAAACATATTGCAGTAAGCACATATTCAAAACAAAATAAAAGAAAATGCAAAGCTATATAAACTGTACATTATAGGCTTAAAATAACTCAAAATTTACTTTTTTTCTTTCTCTTTCAATCTATCTTTCCGTTTCTTTCTCCCTTCCCTCTCTCCCTCCCTCTTTTTTTCTTTCTTAAAGATTGTAAACCATCTCCTTGTCAAGAAAAATGAATGCAAGAAAACATTCTTCCAGAAAGTGCCAAAAAATTATCTCCTGTAAGTCACATGTCATATCAGCAATGTGAATTTAAGGTGATAAAAAGAACACATTAATATTGATAACAATCGCCTCATTTGTGAAAAGATCATTAAAGACCAGGGCAAATATAATCTCTATGTTATTTTGAGGTTAATTCTTTAAGGCCAAAAAAAATTATGTCTGCCTTGTTTTGCCCTTGTTTACTTTTTAGTATGTCAAAAGGAAAAAGGGGAGATGATATGCCTGTGTTATTAAAGACAGCACTGCCAGAGAAATATTTACCTTCCAAAAATTGCTTAAAAATGATCAGCAACACTTAGACTGTGGAATTTGTTCTTCAAACCAATAGGACTTATTAGTTAGTGATACGATTGTGCAAAATTAATTGATAGTCTCCAATTACACAGAGAGAGAAAAATGCTTGCAAAGCTCTATATCTTGCTCCTAAACAAGGGATTACAAACTGTCATAATGTCTGCTCAGCATTTAGATATAGGCACTAAAATTCTTGACACACTAATAAAGAACATGTTTACAAAGAGTGTAAGAAACTGACATTTAATGCATTTATAAATATATTTACTATGGCTATACTATTAAGATATAAAACCATATGTATAAATCCTAATTTTTTTTCATCAGTTAATGGTCGTTGTTTAGCATAAGAGGGTGCCTATTAATAAGCAGTGAAGGGATGACTGAAGCAAGGGTTGGGTTTTATTCCCAACTTTGTGACCAGTTTAATGTACAACATAGCCAGTTTATACTACTGCTCTAGGTCTCAGCTTTCTCATAGTGAATAAGGAGAGTGACTAATGAGGACTTTAATTTTGGAAACTTCTTTTAAATCTGAGATAATGACTTTATACCTGTCTTTTGGATTTTAATGAAGTGTAAAATATTTTGACACCAATAATCTATTAAACCCTGAATGATTAAAAAAAATCTAGAGATGTCTGCATTAATGCACGTCTTGTACTAAGAGGATAAATGGCATAGAAAACGTCTTGCCATCTTGCATAGAATAAAATCTATTTCATTTACCGTATTTCCCCATGTATAAGATGCACCCTTTTGCAAAAAATTTGGGGTCTAAAAACTGGGTGCGTCTTATACTGTGGTTGTAGATTTTTTTACTTGCATTTCCCGCAAGTGATGAGGAGTTGTATGAATTTTATGATAAATAAAACTTGAGTTCAATAACTTTATGTAATATATTTTTTTCAAATTTCAGGCCCCAAAATTAAGGTGCATCTTCTACATGACAATGTCTTGTATATAAGGAAATAAGGTAATTTTATTTTACAGAGTGTTGTACTTGCAAGAGACAGTTACAGGCAGCATTGTAGTTGCAGTATATACACATACATATATACCTACATTTATATATAATTTCAATGTATTTTCTCTCTCTCTCTCTCATATATATATATATATATATATATATATATTCTAACCAATTAAACTAAGAGAAGTGTTACTATGGAAGAACTACTCAAATATAGGATGAGAAAAATAGGTAACTTCCTTTTTTTTTCTTATGTTTTGAGTTTTAAAAAAACTTCTGATTTTTTTCAAGAAAATAGATATGAAAGAGTATAAGCGTAATCAAAAGGGAGAAATAATATTATTAGTTACACACTATATAATCAAACCATAGAAGATATGACCATAATACCAGTGGGACAGGATTGACCTAGTTGGCTATAGGGAAATGCATTGGGGGAAAATCATATATGGACAGCTTTGTAAAGAAACTTGGGCTCCTCCAGGTAATGTTTAAGATAAAATATTTAACCTTACTGTAAATTTTATCACTCTAGCTGATGTTTATCTAGATGTTGTAGGAGTTTGGAGAGTTTGGAGAAATAGAAGATTAATGAATGTGAATCATCGAGGATACTTTAGAAATAGGAAATGGAACTAGGTCTTGATTTAAACTTTAAAAAAATGAATAAAACTTGGAGACTTGCAAGGTAGGGAAAAGCCCATTCTAAGTAAAGTGAACAGTGTGAGTAAAGCCCAAGAAATGGAAATACTCTGAGACATGAGGAAATTATTCTGAAGCAAGTGAGGCATTATCAGAGAGAATTTGAAGTTAAGAATGCATTGACAAAAGGTCAGATTATGGAAGATCTTGAAGTTCAGCTGAAGGAAATAGAGATGACCTTTTTCCTTACAATAATGAGAAATTATACAATTTTTTAATAGGAGAGTGAAATGATTAAAATAATACTTGAAAAAGTTATTTTTCAATAATGTACTAAAAACATTGTATGGGATGACTGGAAACAGTCAAATCTCATAGGATACCTTGAAATTCAAATTGAACATTATACATTTCTTTATGAAAACTTAAAGACATAAATTCAAGTACAGTTAAATATGGTAAAATAATGGATTTTACAATTAGGTCTGTTGCCTAAGATAATTCATCTGACTATCAGTTTATGTCCCAATGAAGTTAGTACTCAAGCAAAGTAAAATCTCATTCATAGAGTATACTTCAGATGCTAACGTAAGATGCTAAAATAGTTAACCACGTAACCTGATTTATTACATTAATTAGCATGTTTGTTTGAGCAGAAACTTGTTAAATAAAGGTAGCTCAAAAAGGTTAAGCACTGACTGAAGAGTGACTTGTTCTGTTAGACCTAAAAGAGGAGTTTATGGTTTTTTGTTTTTAAAGTACTATAAAGTCTCACATTATGAGAAACATCATTTCTTCATTTTTTTTTATGAAGAGAAGAATGTTGAGATAAATAACATACATATACATATACTGAGGGTGACAAAAACTGTACATATTTTAAGAGATGTTATCTATGTATTACTTTTCAAAGTTGAATTGAATTACAGTAGCAATGTGTAGTATGACATTCGCTAAAAAGATGGCGTTAATCAAATAAATGCTAGTGTCATTCATTGTATTACAATTTTAATAGTTTTTTGCTTTCTTAAAATGTATATGCAGTTTTTAGCCATATATATGTATATTATATACATATATATATATAAAACTATTTTTTAAAGGTTTCAAAAAGCTGATAGATATTAAAAGCCCAATGCTTTGTTTAACACCCAAATTACACTGTTTTCCTCCTACAAAGTAGGTACACATTTTTTAAGATTCAAAAAAACATCTTGGAGGCAAAGAAGAACTGCTAAAAGGTGGTTCTTTTTCTGTTGTCCAAAGTACACATAATAGGTGACATTAGAGGTACTTTAGGAATATTTTCTAAGTTAATGGAATAACAAACCATTTATAATAAATAGTGTTTCAAAAAAGGGGTTCTTGAAGCGTGGGTTTTGACTCCAAGGAAGAACAAAACAAAGTCAATCAACAATCTAAAAAAGCATGTTGTAAAAAAAACTATAATATTATTTTTTAAATAATTTTTATAATTTGATCTGCATTTTCTTATAAGAGGTAATGATTTATACTTAAATATTATTAATATGACAAAATGTGAATTTTAAATTGAGGAAATAACTTTAATAGAATCTTAAATAAATACTTTCTTTCTGTAGTTAATCATTGCTACCACTTGAGATATATAAAAATAATACAAACATAAAAAGAAACAGTTCATCAACTTACAATGAGAATAAATAAATGTTGAGCCTCAGTAAGCATGCATGTGGATTAAGGCATTAAACTTTCCAAGATGAAAATGAGAATCAATGTTTTGTTCATTATTGTAAATAAATCAAAATTTTCCTATAGCAAAGTGAATTCCTAAAATCCTATCAGAAGTCATCCAGGTCTTATTTCTTCTAAAGCACTATTCCCTAAAATGTTTTCATGGTATTTCTAAACACATAAGCTTATTATTATAAAGGACCCATTTCAAAACATTTACAGCATACAGTTAATTACATATAGGAATAAAAAGGGAAGGGCACAAAGGGAGAGTACATAGACACTGACCTCATTAACGGTTGCATAGTAGCTTTCGTGCTTGAACGTGGGGGAGTTGTCATTCCTGTCTCGCACCACGATTCGAACTTCATGGTAGAAAACAGTGCCCACTTTTTTGTTGACACACTGGACTTTGACCACGATGGAGTGTATGTTCATGGGTGGCTGCAATGCAGAAATTGGAACTTTCAACAAATAATAATTGAAACCAAAGCCTCTTATTCCTGTCAAAGCACTTATTTGTTTAATAAAATTCTCTATGCTTGTCCATCCATAAATGATAATCACCTACAAAAATTGATTCATCTTGCACTATTTTAAGGGCAAGAGAAGACAAGATTGAAGAAGCAGTGATATGAACTTCTAATTTATAAAAACAATGCGTTAATGAAAAAAAAATCCTACACCTATTACACACACATAGAGTGGATATCATCCCATGTTTGTAAGTACAGAGTCACGATAACATTTTAGAGTATATTACTGTGAAGCTACATTGTGTGATTTAACAGTACCCACTCCATTATCAGCCTGCAGTGTAATTTGTCTAAGTAAAAGTTATAATGAGGTGTTTTATGCTGTTAATTTTTGTCATTATATCAAGAAATGATACTTCAATAAGCATTCTGTACATAAACATGCACTATATTGCATAATTATTTTTTTATTATAAATCTGTTGAAGGGGAAAAGCTCATCAAAGGGGAACATACTTATTTACTCAGGTCCCATGATTAGGGGCTTGCAGAGTTGGGATGCATGCCTGCATCTCTTTGACTCTAGCATCAGGCTATTGACACCATAAAATGTATGTTGGTGACTTTAAAATTATTTTTCAAGCTTATGAAATTTTCTCTCTAAATATATCATTTTCCCAGAATGACCTGATCTTACTACCCCATCTATAACACCATGGCTCTTGCCTGCTCTCTCCTTTCAATTTCTCCCTTCACTATTTAATTTTCTTTATTGCATTTCTCATCCATCACTTGGCATATTACATATTTTATATATTTGTTTTAGTTTATCTCCTTTCACAAGACTAGAAGCACCACAAGAGCTGGGGTATTGTTTCGGTCATTACTGAATCTCTCTACCCAATAACCAGCACTGTGTCTGGAACAGATGATCATGTACTACCCGAGTCAAACTCCTTGGCTTCCGGACTGAGTTCCATAATCTACTAACTATATGATCTAGACACCAAATCTTGTCGTGCTTAGGTGGCTTGTCTCTACAAATGGAGTTAATAATAAACACTGCTATGATCAAGTCGTTGTAAGTATTCTATGAAGTTACTCTGTGCTAGGCACATATTAACACAAAATGGATATAAAGTATTTTTCTTTATTTATAAAAAGCTAAATTTTCAAAAAAGTGAAAAACGTGTTATCTATAAAATACAAGTTTCTAATCCTGGATACTAAATTATTAAATATGTGGATTAAAACCAATTTAAAAATATAGCAATGATTACTGGAAACTAGGATAGGCCACATTTCTAAATGAGAAGAATATTGTAGAGACTATGTCTAAACAGAAGCAAGTATTGTTTAATCTCAAGATATTTAGACAGCCAATAAAGACAAAGGTAGTTGGATTGATTTGTATCTGGTTGAATAATTATGCCCAAGAAGTTAATTGAAGCATCATTAACATGTGGAGCAAAGTCTCTAGAGATGTGCCATATAGCTGTGTTCTAGAATCTACCCCATTCCACTTTAAAACACTGACAAAATCGAAGGTATTAAAGTCATGTGCATAAAATCTGTGACTGTCACAAGGCTCAGAAGGATAGACAATACATTTCATAACAAAAGAAAAGGTTCAAACATTTTAATGTCAGAATAACTTAATTTCAGTCATCTTATTTATAGGAGAAAACAACTTAATTACCCAAATATAATAAATGACTACAAATATTAATGTGAAAATATACTTGTGAAATGTTGATGTGTTAAAGATGTGTTTATATGCCAACACTGTAAATGAGCTGCTAGAAAAATAATACAGACTTCATATTCATTAATCATATCAGATGTGCAAATAGGTGAACTTAATAAGCTCCATTTTCTGAACAAATAAGATATGAAATCTGAACACCATGAAATATGTGATAAAATTTGAGGATGTTTAAGCTGAAAAACACAAGATTTGCCAGACATCTGATTAGTTGTTGTGAAAATATCTACTGATCTTTTAGTTTATTCATTGTAGTCCAGAGAGCAAAAATAAGAGCAATGGATACCAGTATTCCTAAGCACATGTTTTCAACATAAGTAGAGGTTTTGTGTTAATCCAAACCTCTACAGAAGAGAATGGACTATCTTATAAAGCAAGCCCCATAATTGTGCAAGCTTGAGGCTAAATGATCACTTAATAAGACTAGGTCTTAGAAGTATTCTGGAATGAATTTGAGTTAGATGACCTCCATCTTTATTATACCAGTTTTAAAGGGTTTCTTTTAATAGATATTTAAGGAAAGTCCTGCATATTTCAATTGCAAGTAAAAAACAGAATAAATACTTGTACTATTAGCCCTTGGCACACCTTTTAGAAGACAATCAGGTGAATCATGTCTTCTAAGGTTATTTGTCTTCTAAATATCACATGAGAGACCGATAAAACCATTTCATCTCAACTTCTAATTCTATATTGAGTGGTAGCACCAGGATAGGAAGGTCACAATCTTTCCAAGTAGAGGATCAAATACATGATGCACTGAGCCCACTTGTTCTGCTAAGTGCCCATAAATTAGATATAACCAGGTCATCTGGAACTCTTGTCACTCTCAACTTTAGCTCCCTATACAACTGTTAGTGCTATGGATAGCGCTTAGCTTGCAATAAATTCCAACCATCATGGATCATGTTGAAGACAAGAATTCCCTATAGCTAATACATAACACACACTGTAATCTCATGTTGGAAGAGATTCTATTCTGCTGTATAAGAAGGTCATGAATATATCAAGCACAGTTCTACTAAGTCATTTAGTGAGAATTTAAGGACTCCAAAATGCTTAGGAATGTATTAGGGAAATTTTGGTTTATCTTTCATAACTGGTGGCAAAAATAAGTTATGGAAAATTTATCTTCTCTAATTCTCTTAAATTGCTTCATTTATGAAACAAATAAGAAAAAAATAACTGTGTATAAATTGAGGGTAATTATTTAAAACAACCATAAATCATACATTCCTAGACATGCAAACTCTTCTCCGAAATAAAAAGTGAATGTTTAACATAATGCTCTGAATGTATATTTGCATATTTCTATGTTACTGTGTATGAGTGTATAGGTTTCAATATTCATAAAGTGTGGGAATGATACAACCCAACAGTAGATAAAGGTTATCTTTGAAAAATAGAGTTGAGAGTAAAAATTAAGGGAAGAAAACTTTCCAACAAATATATGTGAATTTTGTAATAGAAAAAAGACAAAAATAGAAAATTGTGTTATGAGTTTTTTCAGAAAAACCACTTAGGATTCAATAAACGAAGTGAATTTCTTGTAGTGAATTTACTGATGTTACAGTGCTGACTATAGCACACATCTTCAATGTAAGGGGAATTGAGTTTTTCTAGAAACGATGTCTTTGAAGGGCTAAATGATTTAGGGGGGAAATTCATTTTTAGCACACCTGTATAAGAATTGATTTTATTCTTCATAAAGTAAAGGCAAAGTTTATTAAATCCTCACAGGAATGAAAGGATTCTCCCATGATTTTTCTATGTACTTACTGCCTTAACAAAATGAAAAATCTTCATAATTTCACAAATAAACTGGAAGACAGTGATAGGAAATGATATACAGTGTATTAGAGAAGTGATTTTTTAAGTAATGAATCAAATTTAAAGGAAATTTGACTGGTCAGAGTTATGAATGTCCTCCACAAATTAAACTTACATAATAAATGATGTATTTATAGAAGTTGCCTGAAGAAATTACATATTTGAAAATATAATTAGGTATATGTAATATTTAGATAGATTTGTAGATTTTTCATGGTTAGTAAGAACATTCATTTCAGTTAATTGTATTCATGATATGAAAAGTTCAATTTGGGTAGGGATTAATATGATGTGGCCATTGTGCGCTAAGCAAATCCTGTAAAACTGATATGAGATGAACAGAAATCACTACAATGCAAGTCAAAAAAGAGTTTCAAGGCTTTGGAATTTAGAGCACAAAATTACATACTGGCGTTACCATTAGGAAATATATAGTGTAGAGAGTAGAATTTAAGAAAACTTGATAATAGATAACATTCAACTGATGGTAAAGAATAAAGGTAATTTCAAAGTGTAGGCTCAAAAGAGTATCATAGAAGGTATATATAATAAGAAAAAAAAAGATTGTGCTTAGGGAACAGCAATTAGTTTTCCTAGATTAGCATCTGTATGTTTCTAAATAAAAGGAAATGAAATAGGTTGCAGCCTCAATCTAGGAAACCTCAAGGGCCAGATAAGCCAGTTTTCAATGAAAAGTCATCAACTGACAAGTTCAGAACTCTGTTTCTAGGCACTGAATCTAGGACAGTTTGAATCATGACACAGGGTAAAGAGAACTATCAGGAGTTTAGCCCAAAGTACAAGTGAGAAATAAGAGGGCTTGTAGTAGAGTTATGCTAATGGATACACACACAAGATGCCCGGTGGAGACAAAAGTATGAAATTTAGTAGTTAAATAGATATGAGCCTGGGCAGAAAGTCGAAGGGCAGGTACAATTTAACATGGATCAATCACGTGACTAGCTATAGTTGATTTAATTTTCTTTCACTAATTAGCAAAAAACACAGTGACTATAGTCAGGCTATAGTAGGCATTGCACTGAAAGCTTATAGGGAGCTGGAGTGGAGTGAGCATTAATAAGAGCCAAAGCCAAGAGCAAACCAAACAAACAAGGAAGCGAAATTATATGTGCAATGGAACTTAATCTGCAAGGAGAAAAATAAACCACGTGCACAAAGAAAGGTAGAGGCTAGAGACTATGTGGCCCAAAACCAAGTAGTTTCCTCTGTCCAGGCAAATTTACAATCTTTCTAAAATAAAACTATTTTTCATATCTGTGATACTGGTATTTTAAATACACTCCACCCATTGACTTGGGCTTTTTTTCTGATATGTTCACCACAGCTTATATTATATTACAGTTAAATGAAACCATGATTTCCAGTAGTGATCAGATTTGGGTTAAAAGCACTGATTTATCACACTGCTTTTCTAGCAGTAACAGACTGTCTATACTTCACATAAAATATATGGGCATTGTGTTAAGAAATTTCAGAATAAAAGCCTTTAACCTGTGATCAAAACAGACAAGAAGGAAAACAAAAAGCACTGTGGAAGCAGAAAGAGCAATTCACAAGAATTAAAAAATAAATAAATAAATAAATAAAATATAAATTCAAAGGTATATAGGACTTAGTGAACTTCACTGAAATCAGAGGTAATATTAACATTTATATTTTCCAAGTCACATGAAGATTACTTTCTATTATGGAAAATGTGGTAGGTATCCAATATCTAAAGAAATTACTAAGATTCCAGAAAGTTACTCTACTTAGATGTGATAAAAAGGTACATATGTGGCAAATACACATTCGTTCTCTTAGTTCTATTTAGAGTGACGGATTTTTGACATACAAGATTCTCTAACAATTTGAGACTAAGTAAAATAAGATTATTTACCCAATGCAAGATTTGCAAACTGGGTTTATGTAACCTTGGTAGTTAGTGAAACTCTTTAAATTGGCGGCAAATCATCAGGCACAAACAAACTTTTTTCCGAGAAATGAGTCCATAGATTGGATCAAAATCCTGACCAAGGGCTCCATCTCCCAAAGATAAAGACTTATTGGCAAATTCATAAGTCCAAAAGTATATTACAGCCTATTATCATTATTTCCTTGATTCTTAGAAAGTTTATACTGGTGAATAGCCATGGAATGAGCCTCCAAAGAAATGTTTCTTGGTTTATTCTGGATATAAAGATTTAGCAGTCTCTCTACATGAGGTTGTCTTTCCTCCCACCCTTGTATGGTTTTTCTCTATCTCAATGACTTCCATTACAAGCTAGCAGATCTACACTTTACAGTATTTTACTCTTCTGATCCTTAAAGTTTTTACTACTTCTTCATACACTACTTCTATAATTCTTCTACACTACTCTTCTTACTATTTTTACACTTACCGTATTTGCCGGCGTATAAGACGATTTTTTGGCCCTGAAAAATATGCCTCCAAGTGGGGGGTCGTCTTATACACCAGGTACACTTCAGATAGACTGCCCATAGTGCTTGCCCCGTGCCATAGTGGCCTCCCGATGCCCGCCCACTTCATTCCACATACCGTTCAGGCATCAGCAGCGCTGCTGGGTGTATGCTCGGCTGTTATGCGATTTTGCTGTTATGCGATTTTACCACACTCGCAAAATCGCACACAGCCGACCATATAACAAACTCTGTATTTTGAGTGGAAATGTTAGGGGGTCGTCTTATACGCCGAGTCGTCTTATACGCCGGCAAATACGGTATACTTCTAAGTTTTTGCTTAAATTCAACTCACACATTTATCCAAGAAGTTTCTGATATTGAAAAACAGCTGGCAATTGGGCTTCCTTGCTAATTAGCTGTGGGGACTTCATTTATAGTTTCTAGATTAAACTTCCTTCACCTAAACATGGAGTACACTAGAGCAGTGAAACAGTAGAATATGTAACAGTAAAATACAACAAAAAACACACAAAAACATGGGAAGGCTCACATATAGTAATCTTTTATTTTTATAAGAAGTGACATTTAAAAAGACACAGCCACGTATGATCTATATGATCACATAAATTAAGAATATTTTAATACCTAAAAATGCAAAAAGACATGATATTAGAATAAAATTAATGCACTCAGCTTTGGAGAAAAGAAAATCACTCCATCACTTTGTATTTCTCATTTCACCATAGACAGCACTAAATTTTAAATAATGGCTATCTCTAAATCTATTGCACAGCAGATTATGAAAAAAATATATATTGAATTAGTAAAAACTTTAAGGTTCCTTTTAGCTCTAACATTCAATTATCTGTAAAGCATCAATACTCAGCAAACTTTAAAAAATATATTAAAATGTGTATTGTACCTATTTAATTTGGCCTTTATCTCACATTTGTTATTTCCATCTACCTTTTTTTCTCTTCTTTCCCAGCTCTCTTTCATTGAAGGCTCCTCCATTTTAATTTTGTAACATAAAATTACACATTCTTTTAACCTCACACTTTAATTCTCTATATTGAGGACATTCTTAACATCATTATTTTTTGCTTTGAACTAAAAGCATCTTCTTCCTCAATCTTTCTCAGCTAGTGCTTCCAAGAAAGAAGGTAAAGGCATAACATCATACTGTTTCATCAGTGACTCCTTCCTCTATGATCACAAGTGCTATTTGGGGAAAAAAAGAATAGATGCAAAATGCCCCTGCTCCCAGAAAGCTGAAGTCCTGTGTCTATTTTAATTCCCACCACCAAGTGAGAGTACTTGTATAAGATAGCAACATTAAACTTTTGTCATGACATTATTTAACTATTCAGGCTTAAATTCTCATATTACTAAGGTTTAGAGCATCTTCTATTCAACAACTTGCTATTATTTCAACAAGTTTATTTGACAAATGTTAAATACTTTGCAAGTATATGAGCATATTTTTTTAAATTTCCCCTGCAATATTCATTTTAACATTTTAATATTTTTTTGATGACCAAGACTTCACCATCTTTAGCTAATTTCAGTTAGGTGTCCACTGACAGCACCTTAATTTACAATCTATCTTTGCAAGTTTAACTTGAGCAATACTAATTCTAAAAAACATTTTAAATGGAGAGAAAATTATGTATCATTAGTATATTAAAGAACAAGGCTGGATTGTTCTTTAAATGATACATGTGCACGTTTTTGCAGGTATTACTTTCAGGTCAAATCAATTTAAAGTGTATTCCCATGATACTGTTTCAGTTTAGCCAATATCCAATAAATGCTGCCCTCATTAGAAATTAAAAAAATAATAATACTTAGAAAATAGATACTTATCTTGAAAACTAGATAATTTTTGATAAGCAATTACAATTTAAACATTTTTATAGGCTAGATAGATGGAATACCATTTATTTATACTGAAGGATATGCTTTCTCTGTACTCATAATTCAGACCTAGAACTTGTTTTTTTAATATTAAATAAAGAAAAAAAATAGGTTCCAAAAAGAAAGTAATTTACTAGTAAACAAGTAAATTATTATAATCAGCTATGAGATGATTTCAAAGAGGAAACAAAATATAAAATGAAATGGTCTGAAATAGATAAATATTCCATAATTCTCCTAACATGTTATAGTATAAAATCCATGACTTGAATATGGATGTACCTAATCAGAGCCAGTAAAGGATGCTTGTGATTAACACAGCTTGGGGGTTGGGTGGGCAGGAGGGATCTTGCTGCTTGCCAGTTTGTGCCATTATCCAGGTTGTTTTCATAAAACTAAGATGTATGATAAGCTAAATTAAGATAAGACAAGATAAATTCAAAGATAGCAGCTGTCTTTATTCCATTTTACACCATTTTAGCCACCCATCAAAAACTGTAAACTCTTGGGTATAAAGAATGTTTCTGTGATAAAAGGACACAGTGAGTGGGTGGTGGTGGTGAGGTTAGGGACAGCATCAAGGATGACTTTTTTTTTTTTTCTCTAAGTTGAGCCCAACAGTCCCATTCCTACTCTCCACCGCTACCCACATTTTACATCTTCCGTCCCTGCCTAGTCAGCTGCATGATGGGCCTCCCGAAGTGTACAAAGTCAGCCTGTCCTGGTGGAAGAGTCTAATGTGCTGCCCACCTCACCACAAAGCTCTTCAAGACTTCGAATTTCAAATGTGGACTAGATTAGAGCCCAGGCATTCTACAGCATATTGTTAAGTGGATCATAAATGCTAAGCAAGGAAATGAGATGATTCAGTTTCACTAAACTGAATATCTGATATTTGGATTCCGTAAACTGGAAATTTGGGAGTGGGCATGTTTACATGTCCTCTTTGAGTTTTCCCAAGGTCCTGTACAATTAATTCTAGTCTCGAAACACGCCCCTCCCCCCCCACACACACACACAATTCTATACTCAAGGTTAAATCACAAATACATAAGAATAAAGTTACATTAAAATAAATCTACTCAAGTTTGTAAACTTGTTTCTAAATGAGGCATTCAACAGGTTTGGTAATTTAGCTCTTCTTAATAACTATAGATATTTAGGTTGTGCTGCCTGAGAACAGGTGGACAGGAATGATTGGACTGGAACACTGACAGGTAATTCACCTTTTGTTTTTTTACAGTTCTATAAGCACATCACCACGAACTCATCCGTCAACCCATGCTTACTGCTTGTAAGAGCACCTATCCATTAGTATTCCCACCAAACTCTCTGTCCTCAAGTCAACACCTAGTTACAGGTTCACACCTCACCATGAATTATCATATTCCTTACTCTACTTCTCCATGGTTACCACTCCTATGATTATTCTATTTTCTCCTTATTCAGAAATCTGACGAGTTTCCCGGGTGTTAGAAGGTAGCTACTATGGTTCCCTCAGATGCAGTTGATCCCTTTCTGTCTTATTCTTCTTTCAGGGAGTTAAAAAAAAATGCTTTTGTTGATTAACACAGACAATAAACTCACATTACCTAAAGAAAATTTGATATCATAACAACAAATACATGCAGATATTTAAATTAAAATATTTTAATTTCTTAAAATTAAACAGTTGTCACACAGAAACAAAGAAAGAAAATCACTAACATCTCTATCCAGAACTCTGCCCGTGCTGTTCAGGAAAAGCATTTGTTTAACAGGATCCAACATCACCCAGTAATCCACATTGTCTTTTAAAGTGAGTTCTATGGTGGGGTTTGGTCCTCCAGCAGTCCCTTTGATCAGCAAGTTATCCACCAGGATCGTACCTGCAAACCAAAGAAAGTTATTTGAAAACATAGTCCACTTGTATATAAGCTCTTTAACAAAGGCCATATGCTTAAACCCTGGCTGACTTGCAAATCTGTTTTAAGTCAGAACATATTCAGCTTTGTATCTGGCATGATCGAAAAAAAAAGTCCTGTTTTTAAAAAAAAGCAAAAAATACCTTTATTACGCTATTCCTAAATAATATTTTGGGGAGATGAAGCTGAGAGGCAGGGATTCAAACCCTTGGTGAGTTTCATCATCTAGTCCTTGTTTCCCTTTAACAAAATAAATCTGTTACCCGCCCCGTCCATCTCTTCTCCCCGGTGTGATCACCAAATTTTATCCTGAACGAAAGGAAGTGCCTGAAATAACTGAGGCTGATACTTCAGTTCACTCAGTAAGACTTCTGATATGAAAAGAGATATCTCAAAAATAAGAGAAAGGAAGAGATAAAGAAGGAGCAGAGTCTTCCATGGTGAGAGCTGCTTCTTTTTTTCTTTTATCTTAGAGCAAACCCATACAACATAAATCTTAATGTGAAAGACAAAACTAATGTGCAGACACAAAATAGAAGCCATTCTTGAAGACATGTCTGGGTTACTCAACTAGAACAACACACTGTTACATTGTAACATTTTGATACTTGCTTTCTTATTTTCTCAGTGGACTCAATTGTAGACACTTGTTGAATAAGAGTTGAAAGACAGTACATCTGTAACCTGCCCCACTCTGTTAAAGATGCCGTGCATTTTACATTAATGCAATTCGATTCTTTTTTTTTTTTCCTACAGAGCAACGGTCCCTTTGCCAAACAAAACAAAATGCAATATACCTTTGGGCCATCATTTTCAGCTGATTCATTTTACTAAACTTACGGCATATAGAAGAGACGTGGCTATGAAAATAAAAAAATGTACCCTCCTGAAGGCATTAGGATAAACGGCATATATCTAGAGATCTCATTGCCTTAGGATAGCACATAAGAATATATAGATAACCCATAAAAATGAATCTAGCTTGAAAAATAATCATGCAAAATATAGCTGCTGCATTTCCTTAAGGCACAAAATGGCCTAAATGCTATATCACTAGATAATTACAAATAAAAGGGGGTTCTCTTAGGAAGATTTTCCCACCAAATTGATCATCATTGTTGTCATCATCATCATCATAATCATCATCATCATCTATACCATTTCTTTAACATATTGCTAATGAGCTCTATCTGCCTAGTGAATGTTTAAAGGAACCATTTTTTCTTTTGTAACAATAAATCTAAATAATGTTTAAACATGCATATTCTCACATACACATAATTTTTTAAATGGCAGGTTTTTTATTCTACTTTTTCACATACTAGTACATATATGTGTAAATATTAAGTGAAACTTATCCTACCATCATTTTTTTCCACTGAAATGTCAAATGGATAACCTACAGATAATACATCCAAAGTACAGATGGGATAACGATGGCATTTCCTGACCTATGAATACGTGAAAGACGCAAATGCACCTTCGTTTACAAATATTTCACACAACTGATCTTTGAAAAATTATTTGGTCTGTATTTCAATATGCAATTAATAAGTTAAAAGGAATTCTATTTTCTGATCAATACAAATAAAAAGAAATGTAGAATGAGTATGTCAACTCACATGAATGTTTGTGCTTTGATTTAATGGTGCATAACAACAATAACAGCAGAACTTTCTATAATACATATACACACCATGCAGGAAAGGGGTAGTGAGCTCTCCTTTACAATGCAGGTGAATTATAACTAAAGAAAATTGTCATAGTTATTTTAGCAATTATTACATCAGTGAAAATAAAACACTTGTTTCTGGGATTATATTTTATTTAATATATACATCTTTAGTTTTATAAAGTGATCTAAATGATTTTCTCATTGCTCTTTCCTCACCCCTGCATTCTTCAATGATGAAAACTCAAAAAAAAAAGTGTTTCCAGCACTAGTGTGATGAAAAAGAACTTTGCTTTTCTTTCACCAGAATATTTTTATAATACTTCATAATATCCAAACTTTGCAATTCATATTGCCAAAAATCTCTCCATTTTCATATCATGAAAATTTGGACCAAAAGTTTGGAGAAGATAGAGGACAGCATGCCTAAGAGAGACATGATGCAGGGAACAATATTTCCCCCCCCATAAAAAGGAATATAGGTGTTCACTCCGGTTTGCCTGAACAACCCTGTCCTCCACCCTTTTCCCAACACAATGGGTGACACCCAAGCTGAGGTTAGCTTTGAGCATGAGCTCTTCCTCTATTTCCATCCCAGCGGTGGGGATTATATCTTCCCACAGGTTCAAGGGTTTCCAGATCTGGACAGCTGGTGCTCTGAGACAATGCTGGTATGTATAATAGTTGCCCAACAGAATATATGGGCACAATGGGCGAGTATAGTCCCTTTGCTTCCTCTCTCTCTCTCTCTCTCTCTCTCTCTCTCTCTCTCTCTCTCTCTCTTTCTCTTTTCAGTTTTCCCTTTCTCCAGTTAAACCTTTTTAACCTCTTCCATGTAATGTTTAAACTCCATTCCTATCCCTAGCTCTGTATATTTTAAATATAAACACACAGATATATTAAAAATAAAGAGATAACATATACTATGCAGCACTAATAAGAAAGCTGGATGGCTCTGTTATTGTTAGAGAGGTACCAGAACCAGGAATATTACTAGAGGTGAAGAGATAATGTTTAATGAAAACAAAGGGATCAATTCATGAACAGGTGTTAACCCTGAAGAGACCTGCCTTGTAGAATAGGTGCTACACAGAATAGGATTCCTGTTACATAAAAGTTGACTTTTGACATAATAAATGGTTGCAATCAGGAAAAAGGGATAAAACACAGCTTGATAGTCATACCATAGAAGTTAAAAGACCTGGGCCTGAAATTGATGGACTTAGAATCCAATCCTGGATCCACCATTTCCCAGCTATGAGAAAGTGGAAAGATTACCCCACTCACCTTCAATATCCTGCTTCTACAACATTGGTACCACAATAAAACTGGGTTTCTACTACAACATCCTATGTACATACCTGAAAAAAAACTTGTGTTCTTGTATCCAGAGCACTAATAAATACTAAAACAACCACAATCATAATAAAAAGTACTAGCAAAGTTAAATATTCAATGACAATTCACCAAGTGTCATAGTCAGTCGATCTTTTACATCTTAAAATATTGGAATTTGTGCTTCCTCCTTCAAGAAATAGGTATTGAGAGTCATTTGTTTCTAAATAGAGACCTTTTCATCAAAATTGAAAATTTGATATAGCCTTTAGCTTTCTTCATTAATCTATTGTTTTAATTCAGAGAAATAACTTTGAAGCTCCTTTATCTGTACCCATGGCTTTTCCAGATGTACATATTACCAATCATAGCCAATACATTAGACTCCATTTGTACTAAAGGAAGTGCTGCAGTAGATTTTCAGCTTTTTCCATAAGACTTTCTTACATAGCTAAGCCTTTCTTTTTAATTATGAAAAAAGTTTATGCAGAATATTTCAAAGCAAATAGAATGTAAAATAATTTAGGAATCAATACAATTTCCTCCTTGTACCTACTTCATCCCCCTACTTCCAATGTGCATAAGGTAATTTGCATTAATAAAAGAGCCTGCTGGGTTGCTCTGATGACTAAATGAGATAAACACATGTGAAGTACTGATTGCAATTCCTGGTATAAAATAAGGGATTGATAAATGTGAATTATAGTTTTTGTTGTTGATGTTATTAAGTTTGTTTTTGGAAGGGAAAGCATTTGAAGCGAAAGCAAAATGACTTAACTTTATGTCCCAGAAGTTTTTACAAATCAAGTCTCCTGTTCACGTCACAAACCTAGCATTTTCATGTTTGGTTAATGCATAGGTATGGCAAGATATCTGGAATAATATGGACTCAAAAGATTTTAACCCAAAAAGAATCATTCTAGGACGTTCGAAGGTAGTGAGAAAATGCTTGCTCTAGATAAAATTGTAAAGAGAGTCCTTTGTGAAAAATGGCCAGTTTTTTTCTACACTGCATTCCAACTGATGGCAATCCATCCAGGCCTGCTGTTACTAGGGAGTGAAACCTACTTTTTCCACTTCCTAACCTCAGACAAATTTGATATTTCTCATAGAAAATCAAATTAGATTTGATGGCAAGAAAAAGGCCTTTTTCAACAAATTCATACCAGCAGTAATCTTCAAATTGAACATTTTTGTATTCATCACCAGCATATGTTCAGTTCTATTAGGACCTATAAACACACACACACACACACACACACACACACACACTTGCACACATGTATACACACAAAGATCATATATAATATATGTATGTATATCATAGGAGCTAAACATATATATGATATAAATCATAATTGGATGTTTAATATTTTCCTGCAAGTTAATTGCTTCTTTAAATAGGCAATTATAACATCATGATTTACTTTCTAAAATTCTGGGGAGGTGGCGGTAGGGAGGGGCATTCATTGCCTTTCTAATTAACCTCACTCAATGAACCTGAAAGAGTAAGTTCCACAGGGAGAGAGAATAGGTGGCTTTTGGGCTTCATTCCAAATATGAAAATAAATAAAATCATTCTGTGCACAGAACCCACTACTCATGTCTATAAAATAATTAATTATTCAAATGTGTATAACCAATATTGCATAAAATTTCTTCAAACAATCTTTCTCTGGTTTAAGTCAACTAGAAGAATATTCAGCTACATCATATAGCCAGAGCATCCACTGCTTTCTCTTGCATGTCACTCCATGTAAATGACACCATAAACAAAGCTTCCAAATGTTCAGTATTTGATTAAAAATATTAAAAACATAAAAAGAAAAAAATGTAGTGGTGATGTAGTTCTTCAGTGAAATTAAACAGTAAACATGGCCATTATAGAGTTGTTGTTGAGTAAAATTTAAATTCCAAAATTCACAGGCTAAGTAAAACTCTTCTCATGCTCAAATCT